GGAACAAACATTTTGACAACAACCCACATGGCACTGGGCAAGGATGCGAGTGATACTTGGGTGCTTCAATGACAAACTCATTCAGCATCGTCTCTCTACAGCTCAGCAGCCATGCGACTAAGCGTGAAGGTCGAAGACTCCGGCGGCATCACCGTGACCTTCGACCATGGCGCTGTAGGCTAGACCAATCTTTCCCCATATTGACGCCAGCATAAGCATTCCACTCTTCCTTGCTGTAATTTTCGTTGGCCATACCAACGAGAATTATCTGAGCGTGTTTTTGTTTATTCCTTCAGCTTCCAGAACGCTAGGAGCAGCCCCCTCAGAGAAGTAAAGCATCCCAACCTCACCATGGGATTGCCATCAACTGGAAAACACCACAGGCACCCTCTTCTTTACGGATGCTGCCCCGGCTCCCTGGAGCTATGAGCTGCTCGGGCGCTTCACAGAGTCAAGCTTAGGGTTTTGGTTTATTGGAATTTAGGTGGTGCTTACTTGGGGTTGTGTTGAGGGCTTAGAGGCTTATTGGATGTGGATCTCTCGCGGAAGTTGCAAAATGATCTTCTGCAGAGGGTCAGGGCTGGAAGGGTCAGAGGAGCACGATGCCGAGGTGATGAGGTGCGCAGAGCAGTAGGTATGCATTCTGGCAGAAGTTTAAGCTTCGATGGACGGGGTTAATTGCCCTGTGGAGGGCCCCTGACGCTCATGAAAGCTTGATTGAACCATCTTCGCCATCCGTAGAGCGAGTGGCAAGGCACTCCTGCCTGTTCCATGCCCGGAGGAGGGAAGATCCTGCTTTCGCAATTAATTCGGTTGTGGATCCATACAGTTTTGGAGCCGTTGCCTCTTCAAACCTCTCGCTAAATTTTCGAAGTTGAAAGTAATTAGGAGGCATCCACAGAGCAGACGAATATCAAGTCAAAGGCAGTGAACCCACACTGTTGAATACCCACACTTCCTCGCAGTAAGCCCATGCCGGGCACGTGCACGTTTTGCTGTGCTTTTATGGCTTAACAAAGTCTGCAGGAGGAGCAGTGTGAGAGCAGGTGACAACCGTTGGTGGAAGGGGTGATGCGAAACTTTGCCTCTTACAGTGCTCCGCGGGAAGTAGCATTTCGAACATGGACAGAATAGGACACAGCTCATATGTCACAGGCAGGCGACTTCGATGCCCACTCAGGTTTACCACGGGGGAGAACAAGAAATACCCACCGGCAACCTGCATGCACTAGTTGGACCAGAACGAAGTCTTTTCTCTCATCTTCGCAGATTCGTCTACCTTTTTTGGGGTTCAGCTACAGTATGGCCCGGTCCCCGCAACAAGTTTCATCTCAGCATACCTTCTGTCGTTCAATGTCGTTCATGATGTCTGTGCGGCCAATAGCACAAATCCTTCGAACGAAGCTGCAGGGTGAACGGCAAGGGATCTAGCAGAGTTTGTGTAGCCGAACATAGATGTGGCGGTACCTGTCTGGTCCGTTTAGCACAAATCAAAACGGGTCACAAGCGCGAGAATACGGCCGACAGCTGTGCCAGTCGTGCCCGCTGGATAGCGACTTCAGCCCACAGCTCGTCACTTTGCGCGTTGAGGTGGCGGGCAATGATATGCGGGACTGCTATCACTTCATGGGAGCACAGCGCGGCTTGGCAGAAATCTTGACTGGAAACTTAAGCTGAGCATGATCTCGAGGGCACCTGAAACCAACGAATCAACAGCTTCAACACTAAGTATGCTTATCATCGAAATTTGGAAGCCTGACAGTAACCAGCAATTCAAGAAAGCAGGTTTTCGATGGTCATGCCGTGCTGGCACAAGTCGATAACACTTGGCGTAAGGCACTTTGCCTGATGTGTTTTCCTCAGTTGCAAGATGCAGAACGTTTGAACCAACTTCCCGCAGTGTGTGTCTCTGTGTGTGTGTGTCCACCGGCTTGCCCGTGCCAAGCCAAGTGCGGAACAAGTCTAGCCCAAACAGTTTGTTGTGGTGATGAGGAGTCAAGCCACAACAACGGGGCTCGCGTGAAAATTCGAAGGCTTCGCTGACGGTTCACATGTGGAAGTCTTTATACAGTTTTTGGGGTTGTACAGACAGCCAAGCGCACAGTGCTAAGATCGATGTTCGTTTCCTCGGCAGGCGGCAGCTAAAACTCGTGTGGGAATCTAACCCTTCTATTATTGGGTGACGTGACACTTGATTCATCAGTGTACCTATACGTCATAGTCATAATCATGATCAGTGGATCCGCTCGCGAAGCCGGAATGGAAACGAACAAGTTACGTCATGATACAAAAACTGCAAGACAAAACTGCTTCCATGGTTTGGGCATCTCCACAAAGGTCGTCACGGCTAGGACGCAACCTCCATCGACAAGATGGGTTGTTTTCTAAGCTAAGCGGCAGGGGCCCAGACGACGTGGGATATCCTGGAGAGCGGAAACATGTTGTCACAATGTGTTGGAGTCAGTCATCGGTGTACTAAACTTCAGCTAGATGGTAAATTTAGGACTGCTCTATCATTGAGGTGCTCACTTGTTGCATGGCTCCATGTTCTTGTTCTGTTCCGGTGGCACCGCATCACGGGTTTCAGGATGGGATAGTACAGGGATGCGGTGTAGAAATTGTTTGTTTCTTTGCATACTTGCTCCTGTCGTCTATTCTTATCGGGAGGTCTACATCTGTGAACACGGCCTGAAGGGTCTTGCCACTTGCCACTGCTGTTACAGACATATGTGCGGCATCCGTTAGGTCTTCCTGTGTTGCAATGCTGTGTTCGCACCGATACACCACCCAATCTGCATGTCACTTTAGTCTTCATGCTTCAATATCTCGGTATCACTTACACGCTCAAGGTTCTCTGGGCTTTCCGAGCCTTTGCAACTTCAGCTATCGTGGCGCAGCCGAGCGTGGCTGGGATGCCCCGCTGACGGTGGAGCAGCCCATGGCCCGGAGCCTACGATGATACAGGAAGGGTTTCTGGAGGCCTCAGCGGTGTGCACAGGCTGGCACGGTTGGTGCACGTTCCCGTTGTCAAAGGTTGCCCAGGTGTGGCTGAAACAACTCTTCCAAGCTTGGCCTTCAGCTTCCGAGTCGAGATGCGAATATTGTCATTTCAGTCGAACGTGTTGGAAGTCTGGAGCCAAACCCTCAAAACCTGGATAAGCCTCTCGGAAGAGGCTCTCAACTGGCGGATATAAAGACATTGGCCGACCCAGGTTTCCTCTCTTTGTTGGCACGTTTCAAGGTTTTCGAGGCCAATTGTGAGGCACATGTAGTGCAATAATATTCCGCCAACGCCTCACAGACTAGCCAGTCCTCTTTACACCCAAACGCAATCAAGCTTACTCAGAACCGCATATCGTGTTCGACATTGTTTGGAAAATCATCGGGATTTGGTGTTGTTGCTGCTGTAATGACCCCACATTTCAAAAAGCACACCTCCACGCCGAAGTGAAGATCCATAAGGTCGAAGTGGAGGCCGGGAGGGGGAGCTTTGCCATGTTTTTTGATGTGTGGAGTGATGAAACTCCTGGATTCAGTGTTTCGGGTGTTCGGAGTTTAGGGTCCAGGATTGTCGGGTTTGGGGTTCTGTTGTTCAGGTTCCGGATTACATTGCAGCTCTTTTGGACAGAGTTGGATATCGGCGCAGTAGGGCCCTTGAGTTGTCAGACACACACTCTTTGGCATTGAATCAACGTCGCCATTCTGCCATGGACAACGGAGGATCCGCTCCTTCTGCAGATGAACCATTTCGTCCGAGTTTGTCGAGGACGGGCTTCGTGCGCCCAGATCAAATCCCTGCATTGCACTATCTGCTGATCTTGAGCTTTTGCACGAGACCCTTCGAGTCTTGAAGTGCTACGCATGCGAACTTGCGACGCATGTGTGCTTGCTGCCAGGAGAAGAGATTCCCGTGCCTTGTCTGGGATGGCCCGTTCTTGTGCGACTTTTCGCCTGATCGCCTGATGCCCTAAGCTCATTCGGACAAACGAAGAACCTTAATGTGGCACGGCGTCTTGTGGCCACGTCCCTCCCTCAACAGCTACTGCTAGATTAAGTTGCGAAGTAATGGTTGTAGTTTTAGTATTGTTGTGTTCTGTTGTGCTTAATATTTGCACTAAGTCCAACATTTGTAATTGGTTTTTGTTTAGTATTAAGAATCATGATTGTTGTGCGTACCCAGTATACGTAGTAATTCCTACCAGTCAAACAGAATTTTTGGAGTGTCTAGGGCGGTTTAGGGGCTATTTTGTGGGTTTGAGGGTCAAGAACCGTTCTACGGGTTTAGGAAGGACCTAGAGCTGTTTAGGGGGCTCTGGGGTGTTTTATTTGGGTCTGGGCGCTTGTTATACGAGGCTGGTATGCACGCTTCCTTCATCGAATCCTATGCTCCCCCGCGCAACACCCTCCTCACCCTTAAACCCCTCATGTACCAAGCCCGACAAGTCACTGCAAGATAACTAGCAGACTATCATCAGGCCAATTAAAGTGCTTGTCAGTGTATCTACTCCAAGAACTAAAGCTTGCAGAGCGAAGACGAAACCGACGCCACATCCCGAGCACATTAAAGAGGGCGCAAAAAACACAGCCATGTCCTGAATTCCCGCTCAGCGCTGCATTACAAGGCAAACCTCATTGAATCTGTTTAGAGGATAAACATCCTGTTATCTTCGCCGATAAGAAGTAGAGTGGCAGCAAGGGTATCCAGAACCTTCAGCTCCATACAACAAGTCCTTTATGCATACAGCAAATTTGTGCTCGATGAGCAGAACCAGATCATGGAATTTATGATTTTACTCTCCGAGTTGTCGATGATGGTACTCTGAGCATGTTGTCAAGCATGGAGCTGCGTTGCCGGTGCAGGTGTGCAGTGGTCGTGATGCCGTGGAGAGCTTCCTGGCTGTATGTAGGGCTTGGCGCCTTTGCAGTCGGAGTTTCGGGCTTCAGCTTGGGGTTTGTTTCTATACAAAGCCATGCCTCGCATCTTCGCATGGCTTTGTCAATTCCTTGCAAAGGCTTAGCCGTGGTACTCGCGGTGCTGCGGTCGACAGAATGCGGACGTGCTGTGGCTCCCAGTGAGTTGCTTGCGGAGGTGAACAAGGCCACGCTGCTTGGGATATGCGTTTTGTTTTGGGTGGAGAGTTTTCTGCTTAAGGCTGTCTGTTTTCTTCGAGTGGCTTGCCATGTTCACCTGAAAGCTTCTGCAACGCAAGCTTCGCAAAGATCCTTCTGCTTTTGTACTGCCCTACATAAACCGGAAAGGCCTGTCGGCGGAACAGAGCCAGAAACTCGGAACAAACGCAGGCTCTTCCCTAAACACGAAGCCAAACCTTCAAGCGGCGCTGCAGCCTCCACCCTAAGCAGATGAACCCTATTTGGCCGTACCCAAACCCGCCCAACAGCAGTGATTCGACAGAGCTGCGAGCCGATAGGATGTCGTCAGCGCCTGTCGCTTGGACAGCTCGCTGTTGCCCATCTCCAAGGCATGTGGGGGTTTTAGGGTTTGATAGCATGTAGGGCAATGTAGGGATGAGTAAGGCAAACAGGGCTTATGGTCCAGGATTGAGAGCTTGTCTGCGTAAGCTCGATTGAAACAGCATGTATGTGCCTGTACAGAGGATGAGGGCTTCGAAGCTTCAGGAGCTAAGTTGCTGAATCTCTTGACTGTCCGACTTCGAGAAACGGAGATGCCATGCCCACGAATGCATCCACCGATGCCAAGATTTACCATGTCTCAGAACCGAGTTCTGCATTTGATGCTAAACTCGCGGAAAAAGACTCTGCACTAGAAGCCCTGCGTGCTGCGACCTCACCCTCTCGTCTCCGAAACCTCGCTCCCGGCCTCCCGAAGAAGCCGAACGAAACCGTACGAACTTCAATGCCAGAACTGCTTCTTTGTACTGTAGCATCACAACTGGGATGTGTAAGCCTGTCGGCGTGGGCAGGAGCCAGCAGCATGCTCTGCAGAGACTACGACGGCCAGGGCTGGCCGAAAGCAGCTGGCAACGGTGACAGAGTCCGACTTTGCTTCGCCACAGTCTGCCTGAACACAGCTCGGCTTCCGCAACCCTTCGTATCAAAAATGCCGTTAAACTCGAGAACTGGAGCAGCCGGTTCTAGCTACCCCGGTGCCGAGCCGACTCTAATTGTTCGTTTGCTTCCATGAACTACATGCATGGTCATTGGTGACCTAAGCTCGAAACGTGGTGCTACACATGGCAGGCAGTGTTGCGATTTTCAACCAGCGCTTGCAATGCCTGGCACCACCATGCAGCACTTCGTTTCGGGCATGTGCGAGTTTTCCTACTGCAGTGCGAGCGATGCGCGCAATAGCGTGTCATTCGCTGCGTTGCAGTCTTCGTACTCCGTTGGCATCTGAGCTTCAATTCAGTCGATGCCGCAGCAGCTCTTAAGCAGTTGTATTCTCCGGAACCATTACCGTACATCCTCCTTCCTCTCTCTGTGAGCTTCTGAAGCATTGTTCAGGCGGGTGGAGAAGATATGATCTTGTGACAGCCGGTTTCACATACGTCACTATGTCTCTATATCGTCTCACAGGACAGCCCCAGTATCTCTCACAAGTTCCACTGAGTGCTTCCGTTTGGTCGTTGCAGTTCGAGAAACATGTCAGCATGAAGCGTGTTCTGCGTTCTCTTCAAGCCTATAAGCACCATTGCTGGTCGTTGCAGCATTACTATGACTTTCCGCAAGCCTTCCTGCCCGTTGCATTGCTGCGACTATTGCTGTGCTGTTTGAATCGTGTTGCTGTAGTTGTTTGTCTCGTTCTTTTGCTATCGCCATCAGTCTTACCATAGCTATCAAGTTGGCATGTGCTGCCCCGAGTGTGACTGCCCGCCTGATGCTGTCTTCCGGTCGTTGAAGCGATCTTGAAGGAAATCCCAAGGCTCACGGCAGACCTTTCGCAGATGCTGCGTAACTACAGTAATTACGGTAGCGTGCCAGGCGCTTGTCGGGAGTGTCGCAAGAGCCTTGGATGACCACCTTCAATTTCGATCTCAGTGCATCTTTGTCTTTCTTCGGTTCAGTCGCTGCTCTGCAGAGAGAGGAAGAGTCAACACAGGAGGATCGAACGTGTTTTTCATTCTAGTTGGTTGGAATAGACTCTCGGTGACGCCTACCCCATTTACGCACAGCGACTGAGTGACAAAGAGAGCCGCCTTGTTTGCTGGGTTTCCACAAGGCCCGTCCGGTCTCGTTTTCCACCGCCCGGACAAGCCCAGGCGTTCGGCCTTCATTCAAAGAACGGCCGCACTGCTTATATGGAAATTAGAATGCTATAACAGGTTGTAGGTTATTTGGCAGCATTTGACAGGTCTAGCAAGTAAGGAAGCGCCTTGCATCCTTTGAGATGAGGGCCTAGCCGCCTGCATGTATCGTTTCATAACGCCGATGCCAGGGGTTCTCAACGTAGCCCACGTTGCCCAGGCGTAAACGGACGAATGACCAGAGGATGGTTTTGCAGCAAAAATTGCGGCTGCTTTTGTACATGATGCTGTGGTTGAGCGGCTGAGTCGCAAGTCGCCCAATGACAGTTCTGGCAGTGGACTGGTAGCAGTATAGTGTCGTTCTTTCAGCAGCAGCAGCAGTGGCAGTACCAGTAGTGGCCGTATCGCCTTTCGTCATAGCCGTAACGGTGGAGTTGCTAGTGGTCGCGGTGATGGTGGCGGTGGCGGTGCTGGTGCGGGTGCTAGAGCTGGTGGCAGCAACCTTAGTGGTAGAAGTATAGGTGCCAGGAGGGGAGGAGGAGTGTAGCAGCGGCAGCAGCAATCACTCTGCCGTTTTTAGCTATGGTGGTCATGCCAGCCATGATGACGGCAATGTTTCGCATGACTGTCACATCATTGTTGTTGCCGTTTGGGGGCGAGGAGAGCTTCTTGATATTTTCCAGTTCCCCTACTCACTTGTAGTGTTTTCGTGATTCTACGACTGGAATCGCTCTTTGCGGCAAACGCTATGTCTCTTTGTATCTACATGTCTTTAAATGTATATGTACGTGTGTGCGGATCTTATGTCTGGTCCTTTATACTTTTCTTTTGACCTGGCCCCGCTTGGGCTTCAGGAGCAGATCCTCCACTGCGAGCGATTGGTGGAGCCGCTGCTAAACCCGGAAAGTCCGGAGTTCGAGTATGTAGAGCCCTCAGAGCCCCGTGTGGGGTTTAGGTAGGATTTAGCTTTGACCTCTGAGATAGTCTAGTTTACTCTAGCTATAGCTCATCATGAGGAGGATCTCCAAACTCAAGGTCAATCCTCCGCAGGTATGGGGTGTTAGGGAATTGATGCTCGGGCATTTCAGGATTCAGATTTTGTTGGTGTTCGTGCGAGCAAGCAGCCCCTTCCAAGGGTGTTGCTGTACTTTGTTGCCATGGCAGTGTAGACCAATATATTGTTTTGATCTTCCTCTTCGGCGTGCACCTCAAGCCTCGACTGTCGAGACCTCTTGCCCAGGCCTGCATAAACGAATGCCCTTCCCTTGTTTCTTCAAAACCAAGCACCTCCGCATCTTAACGCACCTACTGTAGCACCGAACCTCCCAGCCACCTTGGCTCCTAAGCTTCCATCCCCTACTTGACCCCCTATCCTAAAACATCCGCAGGCGCGAACCCACGGCATGCAGCAGCTGGCCATGGTCAATGGCTCTTTTGCGAGTTTGGGATTTGGGGCTTCATCTTGAGTTTGCAAACCCAGGGGTTTACGTGCGATTCGATTTTGTTTCAGATTTAGGTTTAAGGGGCTTGGCTGTCCATCAGGTATGAAGGCAATCAAGGGTCGCAGATAGCAGCAGCGTCATCGTTTCCATCGTAGTGACTGTCATACTGGTTATTACAGACCATTGAATCTAGTCGCTGCCGAGTAGGAAGAAACACACATCAAAGAATTGTTGAGGGATGGATGGCTATGTTACACCAAGTGTCAGTTCATGACCGACTATCAGCAAGGGCATCGTGACATTGGTGGATTTGTAGTCATGGCTCGACAGTCTATCGTGGCTTACATGAGCAGCCGTTATGAGTACCAATGTCATGAAATATGCATACATAGACATATACATATATACACACATATATATATATATATGATATATATATATCCACACACACATATGGTTTGGTGTTGTACCATAGAAAGAAGGCAACATCAGGAGATGTTCATTTCTCGTATTGAATAGTCCATATCTGCTCGCAAGCCGACCTTTAAGCGACCTTGAGTCGGGTTGCCGGAAGAAGCCAGGATTTGTCACCGCAAGAGTCGGTTCTTCGGAATCTAGTGATAAAGCTCTCACTGTCACCCATAGATACTCCACCTGTGACCGTGAGCCCGTCACCTTCAGCCCGACAACGGTCGCAAGACTTCGAAGCACTCAAAATTGCCAGGCTTCTCCCTGAACAAAGCAGAGCAGCGATGTGGCATTTGCGGTGCTTTGGGCCATCTGGGCACCGCGCCGGCAATTCAGACAGGTGTTTGTAAATCAGGGTTTCAGGCCCTGCGTTTGGGTTAAACTGCTCAACGTCCGTGAGGTTGAACGAGATGCATTCAGAGATAGTAAACCTGGAGCCTATTCAGAACAAAACCCTGACGATTCATGCATTCATGCGCAAAGCCATGCTGCCCACATAGACCAGAAGTCGAACTTGTGAAACCGCATCAAACGGGTGGTTGGATTGGATGCGCATCTGTACACCCTCGCTTCAAGCAATCTGGGTGGGCGGTGTGATAGTGAGTGCTTCAGCGCCATCATTTTGCTGAAACTTTGCAATTCGCAGCTTGGCATCGAATTTCTCCATACTCTGCTTACCCAGGCTTCGAGTGTCCCGAGACCAACAACCAGAATTACAAGATGGCGAATGCGACGACCTTGGAAGGGCCAAGTCTGTCTCTGTCTCCCTCTCTCTCGCTCTCTCTCTCTCTCTCTCTCTCTCTCTCTCTCTCTGTCTCTCCCTCTCTTTCTCTCTCTCGCTCTCTCTCTCTCCCTCTCTCCCTCTCTCTCTGCCTGTCTCTCTGAGAAGCATGCACACCTGATGTGCGCACGTTGTGCCTGTGCTGAAAGATGTGTATAAATACAGTACCTATGACCTATGCACATTCTGTGACGGTGTGTGAAATACGGACATGTGCACTTGCATTCTCTCCACATCTTTCATTTGTCTACCCATATGGCTATCTTTGTATGCTATGCTCATACTGCGAATGTACCATACGTAAACATGCAGACAACCCGTTTTAAGTTTAAGCTGGGGACAGAGGCAAGCCTGTGCGATTAGGGAATGGTGCGGTCAAGTCGATTCGGATAACTGCTTTGGAACACCAGTCTTGTCGCACCCCAGCATGGGTCGTGCGGCTTGATATTTTTTACTGCAGGTTTGGGGCTGGAGAGTGCATCTTTCGGCAGGGTTGATTATGCGCCAGCGTTGCAGCGTCATTCAAGAACTCATCGTCAGAGCCGCCGAGGTGACCTGTACCATCTGTGGTGACAAGGGTCACGTTGCGCAGCTTCGCAGCATTGTGGCATTCCTAAGGGGCGTCCGGCGGGGCTTGAACGGGGGATTGCATTCCATGGTCAGTTCCGTTCCATGCGCAATAAAGCAGGACTACGCACTTCAACAGACCCAGCTTTCAGACCATCCGTATATCCCTTTTCAGAACCATCCGCTGGTCTCTGCTTCATCGGAAAGTCAGGTCAGATTGTAAGAAGGCCGCAGAGATCAACAAGCGCGAGAACGTAGACTGGAAGGTGGGATGGCAGCAGATCGCCGTAGGGCTTTGTCTGGTCTTTATGGGCTTTCAATGGCACCGGACCTAGCTGATGGACTCCTTGCTAACCACGCTTTGGCCTCCTCGTGACATCTTCGGAACTTCTGCGTGATGCACTCTGGGTCATCTGGTGACACCCTTGGAAGGCCGTGAGTTGTTTCGATCTCACAAGCAGCAGCTTCCATGCTCAACGCAGGCCATGGCAGAGAAGAAGGCACAAATGGACAAGGCCAGGAGTTGCTTGAAGTAAGTGGTACTACCGGCAGCCAGCTATTCAGAATCTCAGGGAGGATTAAATCACTGGTCGTGGATCGAATCGCCGAATCTCGCACTTGAGTCACATGAGTCGGCTGCAGAGTCCTTCGCGGTATGACCCGGCACCCCATGAAGATGAAGGCGCGATAGCCTGAAAACCGAAGCCTTGTAAACCTCGAAGGACTTTAACGACATGATGAACGACATGGGTGGCCTTGGTGGATCCGGGCAGGCCTTGGGGCGCGCAGCGGCACGCTTGCTTCTAACGACTATAGGTGTTGTCGGGTCTGGGGTTGATAGCAGGTGCTTTTGTGAATCTGTCCTTTGGGGGGGACTGGGGCATCTGGAGCACAAAAAACTGGAGCACAGCCAGCCTGGCCTGGTGCTACCTGAGAATAAAGGGCACCTTCCGTCCCGGAGTTTGGACCGTTTGGCTTGGTGACCCCATGCGTTTTGCAGGCGAAAGGTGCGCGCAATGCATGTCTAGTGGGGGCTTGTTTCCACTTGTGCTGTATGCGTTCTGCCGGCAGCCATGCAAAGACACCAGGGCATGTGTTCAGGCCGGAGACAGCTTTCTCTTCATTGTATCATATGATCTTTCAAAGGACATGAGCCTCGCTCGCGGCCACAGCTTTGACATGAGCCTGGCCAGATGCACCCGGCAATTTCCAACGAAGACTTAGTTTCCTGCCCTCCCCTGGCTTGGATGGCTTGAGACGGGCTGGGCCCTCACAGGCGCCAAAGCAGCGACTCACATAAGGAACGAGCTCTTTTCGTTTGCGCCTCCTGGCAGGGGCCATATACCCCAAATATAACCCAGTCCAGCCATATCATATACAGGCCATGCAGGGCCAAGAGCTCAGACCTGCACGACAAACGGCGCGCCAGCGGGCCCATCCCTGATCCTGGTTGCCATGGCGCGGGGCCTCTGCCTGCCGCGACTGCGCACGCCCGATGTGAGCGCACGGCCTCTTGGACAAACGAAGTGGCGTGAGGAAGACATACCGCTGGAAGCAAGCTTTGGATTTGGCAAGCCATATTCGGGTTCCTCTCGCTCTCGCTCCTTGCTCTTTTTATCTCCGGCTCTCTTTGTCTATCCTTCGCCCCCCTCTCTCTTTCTTATTTCTCTCTCTCTCTCTCTCTCTCTCGCTCTCGATCTCTCTCTCCGCTTTATGTATATGTATCTATCACCTATCCATCTATCTATCTGTCTAGGTGTTTGCTTTCGTTCTCTAGGTATACCGCAGGGAGCATTTCAGCTGACCTCCTTGTTCTAGAGATCAGCGTCAGGAGTAATCAATAGTCCCTATAACATAGACACAAGATTCTGCTCAGGCAGAGCACCTTCCTTGCAGTAAACACACCTTAATGATCTGGAACTCTTAACGTGTGGAAATGTAAATCCCAGCAAGCAAGTCAAACATCACTGTAAGGACCTCAGTAAATTCGCATTTTCTTCTGCGTGGCCGACATTATCTATGTACTGTGTTGTATGCTGCAGTACCACTGCTATGCAACGACGTGTCGTCGCTGTTCTGAAGTTATCCGCTGGGAGGTTTCGCCTTTGCTTCTGCTGAACGAAACGATTATTGAAACTGTTGGGGCTTGCATGTGCAAGGCCTGTGCATAGCTAACTCGACAGACTCGACATGCAAAACCTGCATAACGGGCAATAAACTTGCGACTGAGGCACATGGCCGTTGCCTTGGATGCCAAGGCCTCGTCTGGCTGATGAGCTGCCTGTTACACCCGCAAGACTTGGTAATCCAATCAACAGCATCAGTCAGCTGGAGGATGGCACAGCCTCATGAACCAATCTAGCGAATATAGTGCCACTTGCTTATAGATCAAAGACTCCAGCACGCCGAAAACCCTAAAGCCCCGAACGGGAAAATGAATTCTGCCATAAGCTATCCGGAGGCACGGCATGCCTTGACTGCCTGCAGAATCCTGCGGGCCGTGGGAGCTTTCGGGCTGATGCTACTGGCCCTCAATATTTTCTCGTGGCCCGGCGACATGGGTTGGGAGCTTCGCGTAGGGTTTCAGCTTGGAGGTTAAGATTCATTGTAGGCTTTGGGGTTCCGGTCGGTACGCGACCGGAGCGACTGATCGAAAAAGCAGCAGTCTGGTGCTTTTCGAAGCGTATTGTTGCATGTTGCAAGCATCGTTAGTAATGCGTTTTCTATGCCATCTCGTAGTCTGCTGATCAAGCAGATCATTGAGGTCGGAAGACGTAGCAGCAACAGCAGAGTCTGTCGCTGTGGACATGGCGCGCTTAGTACTGCAAATACAATATCGCCACACTTGTGTGGTTCCAAGCATGTTTGCAGCAAGGCATGTCACAGGAATAGCCGCGAGTCTTGCAGTACATCGTGGATTGATTTTGTTGGCACACCCCAAAATGACTCGAGTAGGGTCTGAGTACCTAAGCAGTTTTTTGGAAGCCCAGGGCTGCTGTGGGATTGCGTGTGCCTCGCTATTTCTGCCGGAACACCTTGACAGTCTGACAGTACGCCAATGCATCCCCTTCCGAACTCCGGTCATGGCAACGACAGGGTCAGCAGTATGGAAGCCATGGAAGCATCACCGGTCCCACAAGCCTCCACCGAGTAGGGCCGCAGCATGCGTCAAGACAATGGCCCAGGACGTGCGCGCTTGGGATGAGCGTGAGGTGGATCGGTCAAACCCCTGCAAGCTTAGTTATTGGTGAACCTTCTTCATCAGTGGGGCACATGAAATGGTAAGCACACACGTCGAGCAGCTAATTATAGGTGATAGGTCTGATAGGTTGGTCAGTTCCATTGTTCATCATTTCGCTGCTAGGTTGGAGGTCAGGCATGGGCCTGCTTCTTGCAGATGCCCCCTCGACCCCAGCATAGAGGAAAGAGAGCAAATCTGGGAGCTATCGGCGAGAGTAGTGTAGCTTTCGGATGCAGGAGGAGGGCATCTCTCAGGAGTCCGATGATAGATCCTGCGAAGGCCTCAATGCTGAAACCCCAAGAGCTCCATATTTTAAATTACGACCTATGCAGCACCCAAATCTCAGGCTGATCGTGGAAATGCTGCGGACCCACAGAGAAGGTAATTTGGTGGCCTTTCTCATAGGAGCTGCACCTCGCCTCCGCCAGTGGATCTAGTCGTGATGTGATGTTTTGAGATGTGTGAGTTGCTGTTCATCTGTAAAGTGTCCGAGCAGAAGCGAGGCACCGGTCCAAAAGCTTTCCATCACCCGACCACCCAGTCCTGCTGTAATTTCGCTGCGATCTGCTCTGAGGATCTAGGCTTTTCCAGTGCATGGGTTACCTTGACTGCGGAACGGGCATGTCTACAAGGCACCGCTTTACTGTACCTAACATGTGCCTCAAGCCACTGGATGGACAGCTCCCAGTAGAAGTTGAAGCAGTGTTGCTAGGGTTCGGAGAGAGCCTTCGCGCTCCTTCAGGCGGCTATTACAAGAAGCCGTCTGACAGTTTGTGGTCTCAAGATACGCTCACATGAAGTATGCATACATACGCATGTACCCAGGTACGTACATACATCCATACACACATATGTTACATAAATTTACATGCATACACTGCAACACACTTGCCTCCCTCCCTTCTCCCTCCGTCCTCGCTGCCTTCCTCCACCCAGCCCCCCCTCCCCCCCACCCACTCACCCGCCCACTCCCGGCTGCCGACCTGCATAAATGCATACACACATACATGTATACATTCACCACGCGCAGAATCCGGTTGAGTTTACATGCATTTATGTGTATAAATCTCATACTGAAGGCTGTCTGTCTGTCTGTCTGTATGTCTCTCTCCCTCTCTCTCTCTCTCTCTCTGTCGCTATCTATCTATCTATCTACCTATCTATCTATCTATCTATCTATCTATATCTATATGTATATATATATATGTATAATATATATATAATTAGTAAATGAACAAATTCATATATATATATATACACATATATATGTATATATATATACATATACATATGGATATCAAGGTATATAAGCTGTATAGAGCGGCATGACATTACATGTAGACGCATGCCGCGCATGTGCCTACAGTACCATAGGCTCAGACCCTCTATCGAGGACAACAAGACAGTCGCAGCGGGCACTGTTCAAAGCCCAGGTCGGGACTGTATTGATGCAGTCACCGGCGCAAGCGATCTTGATCGCTGGGCAAATGGTGGCCTCGTCTCAGATTGATGCGCAGATCGGGATCATCCTGACGATCGGCACCTCAATAGGCACAACGTAGGGTCGCGTGCGATTGCGACCCAAAGGAAACTCCTCAACCCCGACACCCTATCTAGAGATCAATGCCGACAGCTGTCTTCGTTTTTGTTTGCGGAGGTGCCACGATCGGGCCACTTCTTTTGGCCGCTATGCCTTGCCAGTGGCCTCACCTGATCCTAAGCCGCATTTGCAAAAGTTAAACGCATCCTAGTAACAGTTGAACCGTAACGACAATTATGCTGTGTCATGCTGTCTCGACTATTTGCATCACCGTGGGGGTGGGGAACTCCCGATCTGCATTGCCTTCAAAATTACGATCCTTTGCAGAACCACCCGAGCTACAACCCCATTTCAACCCTGAGCCCTTGAACCACTTCTGCAACATGCAGAATTCCTAAACCTCCCGGGACCTGCGCAGGACTCGAGCAGTTTGGGGCATATCATCCTACCAGGCAGGTTGTCGCTTTGGCTGTGTCAAGGAGTTTCGGAGTCAAAGTGACCGACTTCAGTAGCCTGCTCGCTTGTCAAAGAACCATTCGAGCCTGTCAGATGCTGAAGCTCATGGCGTGCAGTAGCTGCGCGCTTCTTCTGGTGCCTGCGGAAATTCTGAGCCTTGGATGTCAATTCTTGCATGTCGGTCAAGGTCAGGAGGTTTCGAGTCTAGCATCTAGCTCAGCACTCAGTCAGTTTGAAGTCAATTCTTGTACATTGCATGCAAGCTGTATCCGAATGACACGTCCCAATGGCCGTGTTGGGCGGTCGTGGAAAGCTCACGCGACACACTCCTGGAGATGCCTGGTCGTACCAGCCAGTTCTAGACACCACCCAAGCTTTAGACCCTGTCTCAAATCAGGAAGCCCTCGCCCCAAACAATGTCCGTGGCCTGGGTACGAGTGGCAGGCTTATAATCGGTATGGAAGGAGTGATGATAACAATGATGCAGAAACGGACATTTGCACTCCCACAGCATCTCTAGAGCAATGTCGAAAGAATCGCTGAAGTCGTACCTTGAAGAGGTTGGCTTGGGAGTCCGATTACGGGGTCCTGACTACAGCCAAATCACAGTATTCAGCGATGTGTTCCGCCAAGCCCTGACATAAGTGGAAATGCCGCAGGAGCCGGGGCAAACTCTTGGGCTTCACCTCTGCGCTGGTGCCGCAATGGGGAGGGGTTGCCGGCGCTTGTGTTTTGATTCTATATGTTCCTTGCGCTTTCTGAGATGGTGGGCGTGGCATTCTCTCATTATCCTTATTCATCAGCCCTGTAGCAGGTGGACTCCATGGCCTCCATCCACCTCACGTATATCGACCCCGCATCCTGGGTGGTCCGGCCGGTAGCGGATCTCGTGGTGCGTATTCAGGAATGGCGACTCAAAGCCTACATCTTAGGGCCACCGGCTGTTCTGCCAGCTACAGGCGTGTCCTGCATCACTGGAGATCTGCATGAGCTTGCTGCAGCTGGAAAGGGCTGCACCTACTCATGCCTAACCGAGCCAGTTCAACGGACATGGCACAAACTGAACCCAGGATATTACAGCCAGCTGAACATTTGCGCTAATGCTCTTAATTCGACTGTTTGTGACGGTGACCACTCTTCATGTTTGCTGTCTAGCACTACTTTCTGGAAGCTCAATGTGGAGGATGAAAGGATCTTAGAAGAAGGCGGCGTGGTCTCAGGCTTGATTTGCAGCCTCGTCTTCCTGTACATAGCATCCCGTCTTTTCCAGATGGCGGACCTGCGATGCTTGGGAAGATGCCGTATTGCACTGGAGAAGGCTCTGACGATCCCTGGGCCATTGGCGAGCTTTGGCATCATGCTCTTCTCCTTGTTGTTGATGCATGACAGCGCGTCCATAGTTTGCATCCTCACTCCGTTATGTGGAATCGGATATTTGCCACCTGCAAAGATGATGTATCTTTGCATCGCAGCTGAAATAGGCAGTGCCCTTGCACTCATCGCGGCTGCCACGGGTGAGCTGCCATACTCCAAGGGGTTTCTTGGCTAGTTCGTGTTTTTCTGCTCTATCAGTAGATAAGCACGCCCCGAACTTGAAGCAAGAGAGACACACCCTAGCTCCAGAGCGTGTCCAGAAGCCCTCAATCTTCGCCTGCAGGATTATCCAGCTAGGGTGGGTTTGGCTCCTCTGCAGCATCTTGACCATGGTCTTCACAGCAATGCCCTGCGTGCGTCGCGTGGCACTCCATTCTGGTCTGATGTGCGCAGCTGCTGTCAACGAGTACTCCCTGGTGTACTTGGCTTCCCATACACAAGCGGCTTTCGAGGGTTCTGCTTTTTTGTCGACACGAAGGTCATGAATCAAGACTCATGACATAGCTGCAAACCACAGCTTATGAGATCCAGGTATTTCGTTCTCCTCTTGAGCCTCCCACTGGCGCTGGCGGGAACGTTTGCCCTCTTGCCTCCCAGCTGACCTCCAAGACACATCCACGACCACTGTGCTTCTACCATCCCCGAAGAACTAGAATTCGACTTTAGTGTTGAGGATTAATAAAAAAAAGCAACCCTAAGACGCTGAAGCTCTGAAACTTGAAGGCTCCCGCCTTAGCCGAGACTCTCAAGCCATAAACCGATAGGAGGTTCTCCAAGTGCACCTGAAGGAAGTTCTGCGTATAGGCTGTCAGCCGAAGAGAGGTCCCTATGGGATGCATCTTCGGTGTTCACGATCTGCATCCTCCTGGTAGTGCTGCCCCTTCTGGTCTCGACGGCCGCCTGGTGCTTTTGGCGGTCGGCCCCTTGGCGGTTTCCAAGCCTATCGGCCGATGTCGCACGAAGAGTAGCGGATGATGAGCCACGCAGACGGTTTCGGAGCGCGCGAGGCCCTTCTAGCAAGAAACTCTTCAACCCTGAACCTTGCAATAAAATCTGAAAAAACTGTTCAAACAAAAAGATCAGCAAAGCCTGTTCGTCTTCGAGTTCTTTCATGCACTGGGACATGCTGACAGATGGATAGCGGCTGCGGAGGGGACTTGTAGCCATTGTAGCCGTTCTGCTTGGACACTCACTCAGGAGTTGCCCTCTAGACTCGTGCATGACTTATGCCCAAGATACTTGCATGTGTCCATTGGATTCGTCATCCTCATTCTCACGCTCCTGTCAGTTGTGATCTGAATTATCTTTTCATGCTGAGCAAAGGAGTGGCTGCTGCCTTCCGACGTCAGGGAGAAAGTGCGGGAGCAATGCGAGTCTGCTCTGGAGGAGCTCCCATTCAGCATCAGGCTTCTTTAGTCCTGGTAGACGCTGTGAGTGGCTGTGAGGTCTGACTATAGCTCGGAGCCCCAATGCGTGAGTTCTTGAATTGTAGTGGAGAGATGGATACACATGGTACGGGTGTCGCATTGGTGAACATGCTTGATATATAATATCTGCATGATGCGTAGGAATCTGGGTTTCATTCCGAGTATTACCGCGCAAGATTGCTGTTAACCGACCGGCCAACCGGCTGCCAGCGTGGTAAGAAGAGCTGCCCGAAACAGAAACTGAGCCTAGCCCTGTCCAGATACAAACCAAAACTCCAAGCTGGGCTCTACGTCTGGAGTCCTAAACGTGCCAGACGAGCTCTGACCTTCCTCGAGGACACAGCTTCAACGCGACCCGTGACCGAGGCAAGCCCGGCGGTGAGTCCCAGCTTCTTGCGACCTGGCCTTGATGTCCGAGTTTCACTCGCTGTTAAGGAAGTAGGGTTTAGGATTAAGACCTTCTCTTTACGACGGGGTATAGGGCTCAGAACTCCGAGTGCAAGGAGTATGTAGCCCTGGGTGGAAAGTCTACTTGCCGTTGGGAAGTCGGTTTCATGGTTTGGGCTTACCGTTTGGGTCTCGGGGCTTTCGGGCGCTCTGCGCATAAGGCGACCTTCAGAGTGAACATGCGTTTTAGCAAGTTGATTTAACGGGTTGGCGAGCGCTTGGGGCGGCGCTTGCCAAGATAACATTTGAGATGCTACGAGGCAGTAGCAACGAACGAAGACCATCTAGTACGTTGCAAGCGAAAGCTTTCGCCAGCACAGTTGCAGCACATTATCTTCGTATATCACCATGTACTGTATGTATGTATGCATGCATGTACGTATGTGTATGTATGTTTGTCTGTCTGTTCTTCTGTCTGTCTGTCTGTCTGTCTGTCTGTCTGTATGTATGTATGTATGTATGTACATGTAGATGTATGTAGATGTACGTATATGTATATATATATATGTATATGTATATGTATGTATGCGTCTGTATTTGTATGTATTTGTATGTATGTGTATGTAGGCGTATGTTTATGTATGTGTATTTCTGTGTGTATGTGTATGTGCGTATGTGTGTATGTACGCATGTATGCATGTATGTATGTATGTAAGTATGTATGTGTACATGTCTGTTTATACATACATATATATGTACATACATATATGTATATATACATACATATTTACATCAAGCAAATAAACTCATATAGTATATGTATAAACATATCATGTGTGTTTTACAAAATATGTAACATATTTTGTAGTGGTTCTCGTAGCTTGCCAGTTCTACACTGAGCACGTGCTCATAAATCAATAAACTGATTTACATACATACATGCATGCATCTGTATATGTATATATACATATAGATGTATACGTAGATACGTACATGTATACTCACTTATATGCTTATCGAGATGCGATTTCAAGACGAGCCTTAACATCGGGGATCCAAGCATCACCTCGGCTGCTCAGACCTATGTCGCCAACAGTCATTGTGCGCCCTCCGGAACCAGCAAGCGTGGCGACTGGGCTGAGATTCTCCGCTCTTGGGATTTCGAGATCTTTGTGGTTGCCTGGGCTGCTATGCAGTCCTTCTTCCTCAAGAATAAGGACAACATAACTCGTAACGTAATCCATTGCAATGTAGTGCACTGTAAGGGATACATGCACGAACATGCTTACCCATGCAGGCACTCATTCGTATTTTTGCCCAGTGCATATGCACAATTGTACAAGGATGCGTGCCTCCATGCATCTGTGGTGTACACAGGTGTAGTATGACAGTTTGCGTTCTGTATGTGTGCATGCACTTAAAGTACGGGCATGGGTGTCTCTGCACAGGCACCACACGCATGTGCATACACGTCGCGTGTTTTCAGTGCTGAGGCATCGATAAAGAAACAGAAGCGTTTTCACGTTGAATCACATGCCTCTTTGAGCACGCTCCTCTTTCTCTGCAATTGCAGATAGACTGATCGACTGATAGACCCAGGTAGATGTATACTTATATGTGAGCCAAGATCATTAGGTTTCGAACTTATAGTTATATGTATGTTCATAGATATGTACGTGTAGATGACGTGTACATATATATATACATATATATATATGTGTGTGTGTGTGTTCATACGTCGCGAACGACGCTCACTTTTGTGTTCGCATGTGCCCTCGCAAAACAATGTCCAGTCTGCCTTGGGCTTTCACATGCTGGGACTGCAGGAGACTCATCGTGCTGAGAGAACGCCCTCGCCGACGAACAGCTCCATCCCGCACCTGCAGCTGCAAGCCCAAACCCTGTTGGCTTACGGTTTCGGTATCTTTACGACGACTTCTAACTTCTAACAGCAGGCGGATGAAACTGAATCCAAGCCTACCCAAAGGACCTGTATATAGATACTAGTATCTACTGTAGCATGCAGTGTATGCAAGTAATTCGGGGCTCGTGGTATTCGGAGCCACAGGAACCTGGAGATGATCTCGGAAGATGAAGGGGCGCGCTTTCATGGCCCTAGAATCCCTACACCGATGCCGGCCGGAGCCCTTGGGGGAGCGGGGCATTGTCGAATTTCGAGCTTGGGTGGAATGCAGTGACTTCCTGAAGCGTAGGCCCAGCACAGCAAGCAAACACGCGGTTGATGAAAGCTGCCTTACCTGACTATATTTTGCTTGGCCATGAACCTTTAAAGAGCGCGCCTCAAGATTGGGAAGCTGTTGTCGAAAGATCTTTCATTCGGCCTGTCTTGGATGATATCACATGCTTATGCTGGGACTGCGTGGCTGCACTGCTCGGTTCGCACAGGGACCGGGGCCGGCCCAACTTGGATTTGTTGGAGTTTCGAGCTTGTCACTCCATGAGCTGAGCAGACTTGGCTTTAGTGGGCTCTCAGGTGATGCCCGTTGTTCCGCGCTCCAACCGACCGAGTCTTGGCAGCCGCTTGGCACGGAAATAAACTGTCGTGGCAGGGGTCTGTGGTCTTGTTTGTCATTGCATCTGCCTTGGAGCCTTCAAGTTACCCTGCCAGTCCTGTGGTCTATCTTCCCAAAGGCTTTGCTACACTGATATCTCAGAGGTGAGGATTCTTGTCAGCAGGGCTTCGGGGCTTAACTAGAATTTCTGCAGGCTAGACCGGCATTTGTCGTTTCTCCTCGCCCTAAATATCCAACCGAGCGTGCGACCCCTTTAAGCTTTCGATTCTTGAACAAAGGCGACAGCAGCGTCAGCTCCTTTGACGTGAGGAGGCCGGTGTTCGTAATTCCACCGACATCCCACATCTCGACAATGAGATTACAATCGCGACACAGAAATTTCCGCAGACAGACAGGTAGGTGGACAAAGAACGAAGCATTCGGCCTATAGCTATCTGCTCCCTCAAGCAAGAACTGGCTGCAAGCAACTCCGAGACTGTGTTGCAGTAGATCAGATAGCGTGTAGCCCGTGTGTTCGGCATGCACGACTTGAGGCTTTCTTACGAACAAGTCTCACCCCATAATTCTGGGGCCGAGTCAGATTATCAGATTGCCAGGAACCTGGCGCAGCACGGCGACTTCTCTCCTTTCCCCTACGATGTGACGACAATGCCAGGCCCTTGCCTAAGTCAGAAATGCTCAGCAGTGGCTATTGCCTGCAGCTTCTCACCTTGCGAAAGTCCTGGTAGTGGAATCAGTGGCCTGGAGCCTTAACCGCCACCCGAACGGAAAGAGCACCATGTCTGGGATATCCATCAATAGGAACGGAGAGCGAGAGCGAGCGCGCGAGAGAGAGATACTGTAGCTAGTGAGAGAGAGAGAGAGAGAGAGNNAGAGGGAGAGAGAGAGGGAGAGAGCATTGGACCCATGTTGGTACATGAGCTGGTTATTATTGTCGTCACCCCGCTGGAAGGCCCCACAAACAGTGGGGGGCCCTACTGGCCGAGGGGCCTTCACCGCCCGTTACGCCCGAAGGAAGAAGAAGAGAG